AGCTTGAGACTCTGTCTCAAAAAAAAGAAAAAAGATAGAAAAAGAAAAATAGAGATATTTGCATGAATATCTCATTTAACCTTCACACCAAAAATTTGTCATCAGGATTGTCCACATTTTTCAGATGAAGAGATAATGGTTTAGGCATCCTAGGTAGGGTACTTTTTTTTAAAATAATAGTTGGGGTCTTGGGCAGCACCTGTGGCTTAGTGGGTAGGGTGCCAACCTCATATACCAAGGGTGGCCGGTTTGAACCTGGCCTCAGCCAAACTGCAACAAAAAATAGCCAGCATTGTGGTGGATGCCTGTAGTCCCAGCTACTCGAGAGGCTGAGGCAAGAGAATCACCTAAGCCCAGGGGTTGAAGGTTGCTGTGAGCTGTGATGCCACAGCACTCTACTAAGGGCGACAAAGTCAAACTCTGTCTCAAAAAAAAAGGGGGGGGGTTGGGGTCTTGTCCTGTTGCCCAGGCTGGAGTACAGTGGTAGAGTCATAGCTCACTGCAGCCTCAAATTCGTGGGCTCAAGTAATCTTCCCTCCTTAGTCTCCTAAGTAACTGGGACTTCAGGGATGCACCACCATGTCCAGTTAGATGGGGAACTTTTGTTGGCCAACAAATAGAAGTTTTATTTTAAAAAGATGTGAAATTGTTCAAATTGAGAAATAAACTGAGGACGCACACTTCAAAAAAGATGAAACTGTAGAGCTGGACTAATGGCCATTCTTTTTAAGGTACCACCAAAATTTTTGATCCAATTAATCATATCCCCATATTTTTGCAACAATTTATACAAGAGTCAGATTTCTGGGGTAGAACCAGTAGCCTGCTTTTGTGCAGCTGGACAGTTGGCTGGTGTCACTGGTATTTATAACTTCTCTTTTGTACTATCTGTTCTATTCCTTTATTCACCAAATATTTATCAAGTAGATTACTTTGTGCCAGTTACTCATCTAGGTACCGTGGATATAGTAGTAATAAGAAAAAGAAAGCTTTTATTTTGATTAGGGAAACATTAAACAAGTAAACAAGGTAAACATTAAACAAGTAAACAACTTACAAAAAGGTAAGTTCTATAGGGAGAAAATCAAAGTGGGAGATAGAATGTAATGGGAGTTGGGGGGAGGTGGGAAAAGTAGGTAGCTCTGTTTTAAACAAGATAGGAAAGGAAGGTATTTATGCTAATGTATTGAGCAAAACCCTACCTAATGTGAAACTAATGTTCCAGGGAAGGGGAGTAGAACAGCAAGTCTAAAGGTCTTGACACAGGGAAGAAGCTCAGTGTGTCTGAGGAGTAGGCAAAAAATGGGTGTAGTCATGAGAAGAAGAGGGAAGGTTAGGGACCATATTTTTAAAAAAGAGGGCCTTATTAACCACATAAGGGTATTAGATCTTACTGTGAGCACAATAAGAAACTATCAAAGAGATTTTTGTGCAAAATAGACTGTAAGGGTATAGGACAGTAAATAAACCATTTAGAAGACTTGCAGCAGTCCAGATAAAGATGACGGATTTGGGCTCAGCGACTGTGGCTCAAGAGGCTAAGGTGCCAGCCACATACATCTAAGGTGGCAGGTTCGAATCCAGCCCCGGCCC